TGCTGTCAATTATTTTGAAGAAATACAAATGCAGTGTTTGCTTCCATTCCAGTCTGATGACCATGGATTTGTATGTATTCTATCTTCCAGACCTTTAGAAACCAAACATGGCCAAGCCGTATGAATTTAACTGGCAGAAGGCCGTTCCTGCTTTCATGCAAGAGGGAGCCGTGTTTGACAGATATGAAGAGGTAAGTCGCTGAATGATCCATTTGTTGTCACAGAGAGACATCTGTTACCCAGGCAATAATGCAATCTTGGGGAAATGGATAAAACAGGTGCATTTGTGAGTTTATCCTGTAGAACATCAATTTATTGTAAGGAAGTGGCAGGTGCTCTGTGAGTTTGAAGAAAAAGTGTGAGCTGTAAACTGGCCATTTTGTAATTAGCTAGTATTAGTCAGTTGTAGAATAAGAATGATTTATGTACTACATGGGGGTCTCCAAATGTTCTAAATAAAGGGTCAGTTTACGGTCCTTCAGGCTTCAAGGAGCCAGACTGGGACCAGTGGGAATAGAAAATGTCCTGGCATCAGTGACACTAAATAATGCCCATTTGTAAACATGAGAGGAATAGTATCCCATAGTTTGTTTCATTGGGAGGAATAGTGCCCCATTATTGGTATCAGTGGGAGGAATAGCGCCCCATTATTGGTATCAGTGGGAGGAATAGTGCCCCATCATTGGTATCAGTGGGAAGAATTGTGTCCCATCATTGGTATCAGTGGGAGGAATAGTGCCCCATCATTGGTATCAGTGGGGGGAATAGTGCCCCATCATTGGTATCAGTGGGGGGAATAGTGCCCCATCATTGGTATCAGTGGGAGGAATAGTGGCCCTTTATTGGTATCAGTGGGAGGAATAGTGCCCATTATTGGTATCAGTGGGAGGAATAGTGCCCCATTATTGGTATCAGTGGGAGGAATAGCACCCCATTATTGGTATCAGTGGGAGGAATAGCACCCCATTATTGGTATCAGTGGGAGGAATAGCGCCCCATTATTGGTATCAATGGGAGGAATAGCGCCCCTTTATTGGTATCATGGGAGGAATAGCACCCTTTATTGGTATCAGTGGGAGGAATAGCACTGCCCCATTATTGGTTTCATTGGGAGGAATAGTGCCCCATTATTGGTTTCATTGGGAGGAATAGCGCCCCATTATTGGTTTCATTGGGAGGAATAGCACCCCATTGTTGGTATCGGTGGGAGGAATAGTCCCCCATTATTGGTATCAGTGGGAGGAATAGCACTCCACTATTGGTTTCATTGGGAGGAATAGCACCCCATTATTGGTTTCATTGGGATGAATAGCACCCCATTGTTGATATCGGTGGGAGGAATAGTGCCCCATTATTGGTATCAATGGGAGGAATAGCACCCCATTATTGGTATCAGTGGTTGGAATAGCACCCCATTGTTGGGGTCAGTGTGGGGAATAGTGCCCATCATCGATGTCAGTGTGGGCAATAGTGCCACATCATTGATATCAGTGGGAGGAATAGCCCCCCATTACTGATATCAGTGGGAGGAATAGTGCTCCTTTATTGGTGTCAGTGGTTGGAATAGCACCCCATCGTTGGGGTCATCGGTGTGTGGGGGAATAGTGCCCCATCATCAGTGGGGGGTGTGCCCCATCGTGGGGCAGTGGAAGGAATAGTGTGCTCCATCATTGGTGTCAGTGGGGGGAATAGTGCCCCATTGTTGGGGTCAGTGGAAGGAATAGTGCTCCATTCTAGGGAACAGTGGGAGGTATGGTACCTCCTCACTGGTGCCAGTGGCAGGTATTATGCCTCATTGTTGGTTTCAGTGGGAGGTTTAATGCCTGTATCAGTAGGATGAATAGTATCCCCAGGATCAGATAAGGACAGGAAAAGTGCCGTATCCTTTCCCTGGGCCACAGTTTGGAAACAACTGTTCTACAGCGTAAAATTATCTCAAAGATGATCTCAGGTGGTAGATTAGCTTTTAAACCGCAAATTGAAACAATTTAGAAAAAGAACACACAGGGGGCGCAAACGCCTAACGCATTACCCAAGATTTAATAAGCACTATGAGGAAGGGTACACGTCCCTGAAACACATCAGCTTTCCGACATTACCAACATTTGGGAACCCACCAAGTTGGTTGACCCATCAGTAATCCTTGTCATGCAAATTACTTCTGTTGTGTGTGAGTATGAATTTGGCTTTTCTCAAGACTGAGCAGAACGGACCCTGCACCACCTATCTCCCTGCTCCTCAGTTCTTACCCAGCACCTCACCCCAAGCCACAGGTCTGTCCTGGCACCTTATCCCATACCTCACCTTTGCCCCAGCTGCAACACATCCTCATTCAGACTCAGCGCACTCTGCATCCTCTCCTTGGGCGCCAGAGAACCTTGTCCGGGCACTGATTTTAGTGGAAATGATCATAATATAATTATAATTTTTTATTCAACAATATTCTTAAGTATTTTTTGAAATTAGATAGATGAAACCCTTAGCATATCTAATGTGGACCCTTACACAATTAATGTACCTTACATTAAGGTCAAGTATTCAAGTATTGAAGAAATAGAGAAATGTCTTCAGCCTACAGGCTGAAGCTGTTTTTCTACTGTTGTACTGGGCTGCCTTTGGTGTGTGGCATCTTGTCTTCAATACTAGACATTGCATGCTGAGCCAGAATGAGCTTTTACTGAATGAACCCACCAGCGAGGAGAGTCACCGAATGATTTGAAGCTGGTGCTTGGAGCGGTGCTCTATACACTTTCATAATGGTCACAGTTATATTAAGGTCAGTTTAATTATGCCATCTTTTTTTAGTATATGATGTCATGTGATGGTGATGAAAATGTCCAACCAGAGCCGAGAGTCCTACATTAGTAAAATATAATGATGGAATGACAGAACCAAATGACCCCTAATAACATACATTTGTGTTCTGACAAACTGAACGGCTTCGGTCAGGGTCGTAATTAACATCACACAAAGTAGGCTAATGCTTAAAGGCAGCAGAGACTAGGAGGTGACTCTTCCCTGTAGAGTTAAAAACTGACCATTTTTTTTATCGTCCGTAGAAGTCTACAGTCGCCCCATATAAAATATCTTTTAGATTTTCACATTATTCTAAGTCAGTTTAGAACTAGTTAGAAAGTGTTCTTCAATAAAGAACTGATCTCAGCAGAGGACTGGTCTTGGGCTGTGGTGGTTGGGTCCCTATAAACTCTATTGGTGGAAATTCAGTGTTGGCTTCTGATCAAAGAAGTGTATATAAGGAATGTTGAAAGGATTTCCATAGTCTTGGTAAAGTGCTACTGTGTACAAATTGGCTGAAGGCTCCCTACTTCTGTGCTTCCCCTCCTCAAAAAATATGATTAGGATTTAATGTTTTTTATGGTTCAGATATTTATGGCATTGCTTGCTTTTGCTGAATGTGTTCGATGGATATTTAATATTCATACAACGGGTAGGCAACCTTGGAGTGGTGAAGATCTACCTGAACAATATAATCAAGTCAAAGATCACTGGGCACAGCACCCTGTTTTTAGGGAGATAATATAACACTTCCATTAAAATGTAAGGAGCGTTTGTAGAAAATGTTGGCTTGGTTGGCTGGACTGAGTTGTGGCCCGGCTGGCTGGACTGAGTTGTGGCCCGGCTGGCTGGACTGAGTTGTGGCCCGGCTGGCTGGACTGAGTTGTGGCCCGGCTGGCTGGACTGAGTTGTGGCCCGGCTGGCTGGATGAGTTCTGGCCCGGCTGGCTGGACTGAGTTCTTCTGCCCGGCTGGCTGGACTGAGTTCTGGCCCGGCTGGCTGGACTGAGTTCTGGCCCGGCTGGCTGGACTGAGTTCTGGCCCGGCTGGCTGGACTGAGTTCTGGCCCGGCTGGCCGGACTGAGTTCTGGCCTGGTTGGCCGGATTGAATTCTGCCCGGCTGGCTGGAGTCTTGAGAGGATTTCCATAGTCTTGGTGAAGTGCTGGACTGAATTCTGGCCCAGTTGGCAGGAGTGTTGAGAGGATTTCCATAGTCTTGGTGAAGCGCTGGACTGAGTTCTGGCCCTTGTAGCTGGAGTGTTGAGTGGATTTCCATAGTCTTAGTGAAGTGCTGGACTGAGTTCTGGCCCGGTTGGCAGGAGTGTTGAGAGGATTTCCATAGTCTTGGTGAAGCGCTGGACTGAGTTCTGGCTCGATTGGCTGGAGTGTTGAGTGGATTTCCATAGTCTTGGTGAAGCGCTGGACTGAGTTCTGGCTCGATTGGCTGGAGTGTTGAGTGGATTTCCATAGTCTTGGTGAAGCGCTGGACTGAGTTCTGGCTCGATTGGCTGGAGTGTTGAGTGGATTTCCATAGTCTTGGTGAAGCGCTGGACTGAGTTCTGGCTCGGTTGGCTGGAGTGTTGAGTGGATTTCCATAGTCTTGGTGAAGCGCTGGACTGAGTTCTGGCTCGGTTGGCTGGAGTGTTGAGTGGATTTCCATAGTCTTGGTGAAGCGCTGGACTGAGTTCTGGCTCGGTTGGTTGGAGTGTTGAGTGGATTTCCATAGTCTTGGTGAAGTGCCAATGAAATCTTTAGGCTCCCTCTTACAAAAATTGCGTGTAATTAAGAATGAATATTTTCATCATTTCTGGTTTGTATGGCATTGTTTGCCTTTGCTGAACATGTTTCGAATAAAGCGGAAACACATCAAAGCCTTGGCCTGGTCCTTTCATCCACAAAACGTTGAGTAGCATTTGCTGATCATACCATATGTACACTAGTTATAGCCTCTCTATACAATGACATATGTCAGAGCAGCTGACACTCTCTCCTGTGTGCCTATGATCATTATTTTTCAAACATTCTCCACATCTGTCACGAACATCCGTCTTTCTGCACAATGTACCTGGAAGTCAAGGAACGGGCTTTTAATACTGTGGAGGAGCCGCGGTATCCGGAATGTCATAGATTTTTAGTAGGTGAAGCTTGCATGGAATTAAAGCCTGACACTTCTTTTCTTTCTGCCCTTTTTAGGAGTCGTTTGTTTTCGAGCCTAATTGCCTCTTTAAAATGGATGAGTTTGGCTTCTTTCTTACATGGAAGAGTGAAGGAAAGGTATGTTGTATTTGGCAAACGAACCCCATAAGCATTAATACAATGAGTGATTGAGATTCAGGTTGTGCACGCCTGTAAAGACAACTTGTCCTGGAACAAGAGACGTAGATTCTCATCTTTGGTCATATATTCCTATGAAACTACAACAGGCCACATTGGGAATTAACATAAAAACATCATAAACAGCACAAATAATGAAATATAAATCATATAAAATAAACAAATAGTCCCACTCTAAAACTCGAGAAAATTTTGAAAAAAAAAATATATATATTATAAAGTGCCAAAGGACAAAAATAAAAAAAAAATAAAGACAAACAAAAAGAAGTCCTTGTTCCAAAGAAGTGTGCTTCCACCATCTGGTGAGTGTGGTATATGTTGGTTAAAGCACTGATTTGTGCTTTAACCAACATATACCACACTCACCAGATTCTGGTGAAATATACGCCTTTTAGGTATTTTAGGGGTCCTAGACCCTTCCGAAAAACCTCCAGGGCTCCACTCCACCACAAGAGACCTTTACTCCAACTGCCAACACCTCCAATCTTCTCCTCCCAGAAATGCTCCAAGTATTGCAGGAGAAAAAAACACACATTGTGTAATAGATTCTGCTCTCTCCTGGCTCCCATCCTACCTGTCACAACGCTCCTTCAGCGTTACCTATAATGCTACCACCTCCCCCTCACTCCCCCTCTCTGTTGGGGTCCCTCAAGGCTCTGTCCTCGGGCCCCTTCTCTTCTCCATCTACACCTCCTCCCTTGGCCAACTCATACACTCTCACGGCTTCAACTACCATCTCTATGCTGACGACACACAAATCTATCTCTCAACCCCCCACCTCACCCCCTCGGTCTCCGCCCGAATCACACACCTGCTGAGCGACATATCAGACCGGATGTCGCTCCACTTCCTTAAATTGAACCTCTCCAAAACCGAGTTTCTTGTCTTCCCCCCAGCCCGGACCCCACCCCCCATTGACTTCTCCATCACATCCAACAACGCTACCATCAAACCCGCCCCGCAGGCCAGAGTACTTGGTGTCATTCTGGACTCCAACCTATCCTTCCAGCCCCAAGTCCAATCTTTAACAAACTCGTGCAGACTCCACCTCCGCAACATCGCCAAAATCCGCACGTTCCTAACCCCAGAAACAACTAAACAGCTCATCCACTCCCTCATCATATCACGACTCGACTACTGCAACTCCCTCCTCACTGGCCTGCCTCGCCGCTGGCTATCCCCGCTTCAGTCCATCCTGAATACGGCTGCCAGACTCATTCACCTTTCCAACCGCTCCATCTCCGCCACCCCCTCTGCCAATCCCTCCACTGGCTTCCGATTACGCAACGGATCAAATTCAAAATCCTAACACTGACGTACAAAGCCGTCCACCATACTGCCCCGAACTACATCACTGACCTAATATCCAAGTACCACCCAACACGCACACTCCGCTCCTCACAAGACCTCCTTCTCTCTAGTTCCCTGGTCTCCTCCTCCTCCCATGCCCACCTCCAGGGTGTCACCCATCCTCTGGAACTCCCTGCCCCAACCCATCAGATTATCACCTACTCTCCTCTCCTTTAGGCGCACCCTGAAAACCCATCTCTTCAGGGAAGCCTACCCCACCCCCTTCTAACTTGCCGACCTCCTCCACTCTTCCTACCACTCCATCCCCCACAGCTATCTCCTCCTGTGCCACCATCCCCTCCCTCCTAGATTGTAAGCTCGAAAGAGCAGGGCCCTCAATCCCCTCATGTTTTGCATTGTATTGGTATTGTTCTGTCACATGTTCTGTCCCCCTTTGTAATGTACAGCGCTGAGCGAACCTTTCTGGCGCTTTATAAATACTGTATAATAATAATAATAATACTGCAACACCCAGTTTGCAATACTAACAAAACACCAGGCCACTCACATTGTATAGATTGTAAAAAACCATGTTTTAATTACCTCCCCAGGCGTTCAAAACCTCAGTATATCCAGGAACATGGACCAGGAATTCCACAGCTAAGCAGTAGATGACAGTAATCTATTCACCCAGTCTCAGAAAACGCCCTGTGGGAGGGGCTAAATGCATCGACGCACTTTCGGTCTGCCGTCCTGCGTCACTTCCGGTGAGTGGAACGCACGCCGAAGCGCTGCGTTCCAAGCGGCCATCTTGTGACTCGGTGAATAGATTACTGTCATCTACTGCTTAGCTGTGGAATTTCTGATATCTTTATTTTCTCTTGGAGCATACAGTCCATCTTCCTTTGGGCCTATTATTAACCCACTCGGTGTCGGGACAATTTCGTGCACAGGGCCCCCCCGGACAACCATGTCATTCTCTTCTCTATTTGTCTCTTTTGGTGATGATGAGGTTTTTCTTCCCTTAATTGTTTTGTCCTATAATTGTTATTTATCCGCGTATTTTACTGCAATAAATGTTTTGTAATTTTTCATTAACAAGCCGCAGTCTGTCCTTTTTTGGATCTGCTTGACCTAGGGGTTCTCTACCCTTGGTTTTTGTCTTTTTTCCCACACCATCACAGTCCCCCTTACATCAAGGTCACCAACACAGTCCCCCCTTACATCAGGGTCGCCATCACAGTCCCCCCTTACATCAGGGTCTCCAACACAGTCCCCCCTTACATCAGGGTCGCCATCACAGTCCCCCCTTACATCAGGGTCTCCAACACAGTCCCCCCTTACATCAGGGTCGCCATCACAGTCCCCCCTTACATCAGGGTCACCATCACAATCCCCCCTTACATCAGGGTCACCATCACAATCCCCCCTTACATTGGGGTCACCATCACAGTCCCCCTTACATCAAGGTCTCCAACACAGTCCCCCCTTACATCAGGGTCGCCATCACAGTCCCCCCTTACATCAAGGTCACCATCACAGTCCCTCCTTACATCAGGGTCTCCAACACAGTCCCCCCTTACATCAGGGTCGCCATCACAGTCCCCCCTTACATCAAGGTCACCATCACAGTCCCTCCTTACATCAAGGTCACCAACACAGTCCCTCCTTACATCAGGGTCACCATCACAGTCCCCCCTTACATCAAGGTCACCATCACAGTCCCTCCTTACATCAAGGTCACCAATCACAGTCCCCCCTTACATCAGGGTCGCCATCACAGTCCCCCCTTACATCAGGGTCTCCAACACAGTCCCCCCTTACATCAGGGTCGCCATCACAGTCCCCCCTTACATCAGGGTCTCCAACACAGTCCCCCCTTACATCAGGGTCGCCATCACAGTCCCCCCTTACATCAGGGTCACCATCACAATCCCCCCTTACATCAGGGTCACCATCACAATCCCCCCTTACATTGGGGTCACCATCACAGTCCCCCTTACATCAAGGTCTCCAACACAGTCCCCCCTTACATCAGGGTCGCCATCACAGTCCCCCCTTACATCAAGGTCACCATCACAGTCCCTCCTTACATCAAGGTCACCAACACAGTCCCTCCTTACATCAGGGTCACCATCACAGTCCCCCCTTACATCAGGTTCGCCATCACAGTCCCCCCTTACATCAGGTTCGCCATCACAGTCCCCCCTTACATCAAGGTCACCATCACAGTCCCCCTTACATCAGGGTCGCCATCACAGTCCCCCCTTACATCAGGGTCGCTATCACAGTCCCCCCTTACATCGGGGTCGCCATCACAGTCCCCCCTTACATCAGGGTCGCCATCACACTCCCCCCTTACATCAAGGTCACCAACACAGACCCACCTTACATCAGGGTCACCATCACAGTCCCCCCTTAAATCAGGGTCGCCATCACAGTCCCCCCTTACATCAGGGTCGCCATCACAGTCCCCCCTTACATCAGAGTCGCCATCAAATTCCCCCCCCTTACATCAGAGTCGCCATCACAGTCCCCCTTTACATCAGAGTCGCCATCACATTCCCCCCCCCCCCCTTACATCAGAGTCGCCATCACATTCCCCCCTTACATCAGAGTCGCCATCACAGTTCCCCTTTACATCGGGGTCGCCATCACAGTTCCCCCTTACATCGGGGTGGCCATCACAGTCCCCCCTTACATCAGGGTCACCATCACAGTCCCCCTCACACCCAAGGTTCCCAACAGAGAATGCCTTACATCAGAACCCTTCTCCCCCCTTACATCAATGTCCCCATCAGCGTGCATCTTACATCCGAGATCTGGATAAAATCATAGTGGGCTGCAGTTTAAAGACCCCGACCCAAGGAGTGCACACTACAGGAAATGGAAACAATCGGCCTCAATAAAGAAAATTAAATTATAAGCAAGTGTGAATTATTGGGTTCAGTGGCGTACATACAGGAATTGCAGGGGTCGCAAACGCGACCCGGCCCCATGCTGCAGGGGGTCCGTGCAGCCTCCCTGTATGCCTGCATAGGATGGACGGCAGGGCAGCATATAGAGGAACCAATGCCCTCCATTTTCCTCCTGCAGCCTTTCATAGGCTGCAGGAGAAAAATGGAGGTGATCGGTTCCTCCTGGTGTCAAACTGGTGGCCCTCCAGCTGTTGCCAAACTACAAGTCCCATGAGGCATTGCAATATTGACAGTTACAAGCATGACTCCCAAAGGCAGAGGCATGATGGGACTTGTAGTTTCGCAACAGCTGGAGGGCCACCAGTTTGACACCCCTGCTCTGCATGCTGCCCAGCTGGTAATGCCTCATATCTACCTCCTTCTATGATCAGGCCTCTGTTATTTTTTTTTTTCCTGGTCCCCTTCATCCCCCGAAACACTGCCAGGTTCCTTCATCCCCTTTCCCACCGGCTATTGCAGGGGATGCTGTTAGGATAGAGAGCGGGGGAAGGGGCCAGTAAATGTGTTGTTACCAGCCCCTTCCTTGTACTTCCATGCTGATCACTGACTCTGTCCATTCATGGGCAGCACAGTGGCTAAATGGTTAGCACTTCTGCCTGGCAGTACTCGGGTCGTTGGTTCAAATCCCAGCCACGGCACCACCTGCCTGGAGTTTGCATGTTCTCCCTGTGCCTGCGTGGGTTTCCTCCGGGTACTCCGGACCTTAGTTTGTACGCCCCTTGAGGGTTAGGGACTGATGGGAATGTACAATATATATGTAAAGTGCTGCATAAATTGACGGCGCTATATAAGTACCTGAAATAAAAATAAATTCATAACTGACGTATAGTAAACTGTGTTTGTGAATGTACAGAGGCCCATTCATTCATTCGGAAGGAGATCAAGGGCTATGTCTTCAATCTTGTTTCTCGGTCTCAAAGGTGAAACATCAGAAGTCTGTTTAGACCCCCGATATCTCACCAATCTCACCATCTCCTAAAAAATTGTTAAGAAAGAAATCAGAATGGTAAAAAATAAAAATAAAATAACAAAATAAAAAATGACTCACCAGTGGCGGAACTACTAGTGTACTTAAAAAGGAAGTGCAGCGCTAAAATAAATGCAGATTAATACTTCCAATCCATAAACCAGCCGAACATATGATTGAACATACAATCACAATATGTTAAAATAAATGTATAAAAATGGTGACAGTCTGTGGTAGGTGATGGTTACAGGAGATGTTAGTGACTTCACGTTCCAGGTGGTGAGGTGATAGAATAGCTAAAATACGCACTCACCAGATGCGTATCTTTATATACGCATATAAACAATAACCAGAGGTCCCCCTCATGGGATGGGATGGATGAGCTGAACCGCTTATAACGGACTCTCCCCCCCTTGGTATTGGTCTGGTCAGTGGTCGTCTCTCTTGGGATAGTACCGAGTACCACCGTGGAAGCCTCTCAGATATACAGCCGGGTGGGTCGCCTTGGACCTGGCATTCTCCTCTAGTAGTGGTGGGCTGATGTCAGCAATATAGGAATTATTTATTATTATTTATTTCAGGTACTTATATAGCGCCGTCAATTTACGCAGCACTTTACATATATATTGTACATTCACATCAGTCCCTAACCCTCAAGGGGCGTACAATCTAAGGTCCCTAACTCACATACATACATACACATACTAGGGACAATTTAGAGAGAAGCCAATTCACCTACCAGCATGTCTTTGGAATATCTCCTGTGCCATGGAACGTGGGCTCTGGGGATGAATTGTTGGCTCTGGAGGTGCTCGGGCTGTACACAGTCTTCTTCCCTGATCACAGAGCTGATTGCATGCCACAAAAAAAAAAAAAGAAAAAATCAGAATGGTAAAAATAAAAATAAAATAATAAAAATAAAAAATGACTCACCAGTGGCAGAACTACTACAGTTGCAAGAAAAAGTATGTGAACCCCTTGGGATTCCGTGGAGTTTTGCATGAATTGGGCATAAAATGTGCTCTGAACGTCATCTAAGTCACAACAATAGAAGAACACAGTCTGCTGAACATAATACTACACAAACATTAGATGTTGCCATGGTTTAATTGCACATAACATGTAAACATTCACAGTGCAGGGAGGAAAAAGTATGTGAACCTTTGGACTTAATAACTGGTTGACCCTCCTTTGGCAGCAATAACCTCAACCAAACGTTTCCTGTAGTTGCAGATCAGACCTGCACAACGATCTGGAGTCATTTTGGAGCACTCCTCTTCACAAAACTGTTTCAGTGTAGCAATATTCTTGGGATGTCTGGTGTGAATCGCTCTCTTAAGGTCATGCCACAGCATTTCAATGGGGTTGAGGTCAGGACCCTGACTGGGCCACTCCAGAAGGCGTATTCTGTGCTGTTGCAGCCATTGTTTTGTTGAATTACTTGTATGCTTTGGGTCATTGTCCTGTTGCATCACCCATCCTCTGTGGAGCTTCAGTTGGCGGACAGATGGTCGTACGTTTTCCTGCAAAATGTCTTGATAAACTCTGGAATTCATTTTCCCATCAATGACAACAATCCATCCAGGCCCTGAAGCAGCAAAGCAGCCCCAAACCATGATGCTCCCTCCGCCATGTTTTCACAGTGGGGATGAGGTTTTGATGTCGGTGTGCTGTGCCTTTTTTCCTCCACACATAGTGTTGTGTGTTCTTCCCAAACAACTCAATCTTGGTTTCATCTGTCCACAGTATATTTGCCAGTAGTGCTGTGGAACATCCAGGTGCTCTTTTGCAAACTTCAAACGTGCTGCAATCTTCTTTTTGGACAGCAATGGCTTCCTCCGTGGTGTCCCTCCCATGTACTCCATTCTTGTTTAATGTTTTCCTTATTGTAGATGTGTCAACAAAAATGTTAGCATGTGCCAGAGATTTCTGTAGGTCTTTAGCTGACACTCTGGGATTCTTCTTTACCTCATGCAGCATTCTGCGCTGTTTTCTTGCAGTCATTTTTACAGGACGACCCGCGCTTAGGGAGAGTAGCAACAGTGCTAAACTTTCTCCATTTGTAGACAGTCTGTCTTACCGTGGACACATGAACATCAAGGCTTTTTGGAGATACTTTTGTAACCCTTTCCAGCTTCATGCAAGTCAACAATTCTTGATCGTAGGTCTTCTGAGAGCTCTTTTCTGCGAGGCATGGTTCACATCAGACAGTGCTTCTTGAAACCAGTAAACCCAAAACAGGTGCGTGTTTTTTAAGGGCAGGACAGCTGTCAGCAACACATCCAATATCATCACACTGATTGGAGTCAAGGTTGGCTCACTCCTGGCTCCAATTAGCTCTGGGAGAAGTCATTAAGCTAGGGCCTCACATACTTTTTCCTCCCTGCACTGTGAATGTTTACATGTTATGTGCAATTAAACCATGGCAACATCTAATGTTTGTGTAGTATTATGTTCAGCAGACTGTGTTCTTCTATTGTTGTGACTTAGATGACGTTCAGAGCATATTTTATGCCCAATTCATGCAAAACTCCACGTAATCCCAAGGGGTTCACATACTTTTTCTTGCAACTGTAGGGTCGCAGAGGTCTCAGTTGTGACTGGGACCTGGCGCACCACCACTGTGGGGGGGGCCCCAGGATGGCAGGAAGAGGACTCACTGCTGAACATGTGAAAGGGCCCCGGGAACAGCGGGAAGGGCCCCGGCCGTGGGTCAGGGAGTCCTTTTTATAGATTCCTGAACCAGGGACTGGAAGATTCTAGTTACACCGATTGGGTTTGTTGTGTTTTATTTTATATCATGTTATAACTTTCCACAACTCTGCATTTATATCACAATTGGCCGAATAGTCTACGCATTTTTGTTCAACTTTTTGTGTAAATTTTTTTTTTCATTTACCAGGAAGGTCAGGTTTTGGAATGCTCCCTGATCAACAGCATACGGTGCGGGGCAGTGCCCAAGGTAAGACCGTCTGACAGAATTCTTTGTATTTTGCACACGGTGATTTCTTTCTGCCTTTCTCGGGATAATTATATTACTTCTAAATTGAAGAGCGCGTCGGGCGTTTGGCTCTCCTGCTATTCTTCTCCCAGCATGTGAAATCCGAGATAAAGTCACTCAGTACTCTCTCTATGGTTAAACTGGAATAATAAGGAGAGGTGGTCCGGCTCCCTGGAAAGTTGATCATTCATCAGGCCTGCAAATGACATCGGAGCACGAGCGACCTTCTATTAATGAGTATGAAATGTCAGATGCGAAATGTCATAGAAAAGCAGAGTATGTATACACTGCACCTGATTACAGCGGCATTAGAAGGAAGCCTTTAAAGTGAACCTGTCATAGGCGAGGCTGGGGCGTCGTGTTGTAGAGCAGAGCAAGACACTACAAAAATCACTTTAGATTTCAGCTGCCGTTGCCGAGTGAGCAACGTTAGAAAATCAGCATCTTCTCTTTATAGAACACCTACCATGAGAGTGATACTTGAACTGCCATTGTTGACCTTCTTCTGAAAATGGCAGTTGCTTGGCTGCATGAGTCACTGACCTGCAACAAGCATGTAGTTAGTGAAGTCATAACTGATTTTTATACTTATTTTAGGTCAGTTACTCAATTAAAGTGTGATGGATGATGAGAGCACCACAAACCAAGTTAGGGAGATACTTGAACTGCCATTCTTGAACTTTTTCTGTAAATGGCAGTTGCTTGGCTTCATGAGTCACTGACCTGCAACAAGCATGCAGTTAGTGAAGTCAGAACTGGTCTTTACACTTATTTTAGGTCAGTTACTCAATGAAGGTGTGAAGACCAGTTCTGACTTCACTAACTGCATGCTTGTTCCAGCTTAGTGACACAAAGTATTGAAGCCAAGCAACTGCCATTTTCAGAAAAAGGTCAAGAATGGCAGTTCAAGTATCTCCCGAACTTGGCTTGTGGTGCTCTCATCCTGCACACTTTTACTGAGTAGCTGACCTAAAATAAGTGTAAAGGATGGGAGCACCACAAGCCAAGTTCGGGAGATACTTGAACTGCCATTCTTGAACTTTTTCTGTAAATGGCAGTTGCTTGGCTGCATGAGTCACTGATCTGCAACAAGCATGTAGTTAGTGAAGTCAGAACTGATTTTCAATACTTCTTTTAGGTCAGTTACTCAATGAAAGTGTGAAGGATGAGAGCACCACAAGCCAAGTTCGGGAGATACTTGAACTGCTATTGTTGACCTTCTTCTGAAAATGGCAGTTGCTTGGCTGCATGAGTCACTGACCTGCAACAAGCGTGCAGTTAGTGAAGTCATAACTGATTTTTATACTTATTTTAGGTCAGTTACTCAATGAAAGTGTGAAGAATGAGAGCACCACAAGCCAAGTTCAGGAGATACTTGAACTGCCATTCTTGACCTTTTTCTGAAAATGGCATTTGCTTGGCTTCAATACTTTGTGCTACGGAGCTGGAACAAGCATGTAGTTAGTGAAGTCAGAACTGGTCTTCACACTTATTTTAGGTCAGTTACTCAATGAAAGTGTGAAGGATGAGATGGCCACAAGCCAATATAGGGAGAGACTTGAACTGCCATCACTGATATTCTTCTGAAAATGACAGTTGTTTGTTTTCAATATTTTGAGAGACTGACCTGGTAGCTAGTGAAGTCAGAACTCCCTACACATATTTGAAATTAGTGACTCAAGCAAGTAGCTAGTGAAGTCAGAACTCCCTACACGTATTTGAAATTAGTGACTCAATGCACAGTAATTAAATGGTCCAGTAAAGTGTAATAAACATGATAAAAAGTCAGTAAGTACTGGCAACGCGTTTCACAGGCTCACAAATCCCCCTTCATCAGGGCTGCTGCACAGCGGAGCTACCAGAAGAGGGGCTCACTCAGGGGGTTTTTGGAGTAGGGGGGACCTCCTCTATTAGAGGTTCAGCAGCCAGGAGACCAGAGGACACCCCCCAGTCTAGGTAGGACCTTCAGCTCAGCAGTGCAAGAGCCCCGATGAAGGGGGATTTGTGAGCCCCTGAAACGTGTTGGTATTCCCGCTGTTTTCTACAGGATCAGTACATTTTACTGGACAACCTATAGACTTGTGGCCCTCTCATCCTTCACAGTTTGGATCAGTCACGGGGGCCCATAGGGCTTCCCTCATTGTTAGAGATGCTGCCTCTACAGACTGCCATATCACACTTATCTTGAGGTCAAACACGCCTCCAACACCTTTGTTGTACTAGGTCAGCTACTCAGGGAACATTAAAAGCAAACGGACAGCATGTCAGCCAGACAACTAGCATGTTTAGAGGGATTTTCTCGCACACCCGCTCCTCCCATTCAGTAAACATCTTGCATTCTTTTTCAGTGAATGCAAGGCTCTGTATGAATGGAGGAGGGGACAAATGGCTATCACGGTCTCCCTTCTTCCTGAGAGTGTCTTGCATTGATTGAAAAGACTGCAAAATGGTTGCTGGAGATTGAGTGACCCCCTGTGATCTGAGTACTCCGAGATACGGCCGCAAGTGGATGCAGAGCACGCATGGTGCAACGCACAACTTCCCATTGCAATGAATATGTGCATGCTGCTGTACAAGGGAATACGCCAGTTCTTGCCTGAACTTGTGCATGCGCATAGGTGTCCACCCCTGGATGCAGGCAGCCTCTGTGGTTTTACGCACGCGCCAGCCTAAACCCTCATATATTGACGCTGCATGCAGGGGTGTCCCTAGGGTTGGTGTCACCCGGTGCGATAACACTTGGTGACACCCCCTCCGACGATTCCTACAGAATGGATCAGATCTGCAGATTGTGTATAATGGATCAGACTCCGATCCATTATGCTCCCTAATCTGCAGATCCGATCCATTCTGCGGGGATCGTCGGCATGCAACCTATATGGGGTGACACCGGACCCACTCCACAAAAAGGTAAGTGGTAAAGAAAGCCGACGATCCCCGCAGGATGGATCGGATCTGCGTGTTTCTATTGATGGACATGGTGTAGGAAGACACAACTCCAGTCCCTACATACAAGGGTGGCTCCATAGGATGCTGCAAGAGAAAGGAACCACCTTGAAAGAGGAAACCTGGGGACCACCATTATGGCACCAACTAAACTGGAACATAGGCAAGGATTCAAAGATAGAGAAGGTGCATCCTCCTAAAAATCCTAGGCTATGCGGCTGTGTGTTTCTATTGATGCACATGGTGTAGGAAACACACAACTCCAGTCCCTGCATGCAAGGGTGGCTCCATAGGATGCTGCAAGAGAAAGGAACCACCTTGAAAGAGGAAACCTGGGGGCCACCATCATGGCACCAGCTAAACTGGAACGTAGGCAAGGATTCAAAGATAGCCTAGGATTTTTAGGAGGATGCACCTTCTCTATCTTTGAATCCTTGCCTATGGGTCAGTTTAGTTGGTGCCATGATGGCGGCCCCCAGGTTTCCTCTTTCAAGGTGGTTCCTTTCTCTTACAACATCCTATGGAGCCACCCTTGCATGCAGGGACTGGAGTTGTGTCTCCCTACGCCATGTGCATCAATAGAAACATACAGCCCCATAGCCTAGAATTTTTAGGAGGATGCACCTCTTTCTCTTTGAGGCTGTGTTTTTCTATTGATGCACATGGCAATAGAGAGGCACAACTCTAGTCCCTTGCATGCAAGGGTGGCTCCATAGGATGCTGCAAGAGAAAGGAACCACCTTGAAAAGAGGAAACCTGGGGGCCGCCATCATAGCACCAGCTAAACTGGAACATAGGCAAGGATTCAAAGATAGAGAAGGTGCATCCTCCTAAAAATCCTAGGCTATGGGGCTGTGTGTTTCTATTGATGCACATGGTGTAGGAAGACACAACTCCAGTCCCTGCATGCAAGGGTGGCTCCATAGGATGCTGCAAGAGAAAGGAACAACCTTGAAAGAGAAAACCTAGGGGCCACCATCATGGCACCAACTAAACTGGAACGTAGGCAAGGATTCAAAGATAGCCTAGGATCTTTAGGAGGATGCACCTTCTCTATCTTTGAATCCTTGCCTATGTTCCAGTTTAGTTGGTGCCATGATGGCGGCCCCTAGGTTTTCGCTTTCAAGGTGGTTCCTTTCTCTTGCAGCATCCTATGGAGCCACCCTTGCATGCAGGGACTGGAGTTGTGTCTCCCTACACCATGTGCATCAATAGAAACACACAGCCCCATAGCCTAGAAAATTTAGGAAGATGCACCTTCTCTATGGGGCTGTGTGTTTCTATTGATGCACATGGCGTAGGGAGACACAACTCAAGTCCTTGCATGCAAGGGTGGCTCCATAGGATTCTGCAAGAGAAAGGAACCACCTTGAAAGAGGAAACCTGGGGGCCGCCATCATGGCACCAGCTAAACTGGAACATAGGCAAGGATTCAAAGATAGAGAAGGTGCATCCTCCTAAAAATCAATATACCAGAAGGGAGCTTCCTTTTCCACATTTGACATCTATTATATCCTGTATTTGTGTTTCATTCCGGTGAAGGCACTTTGTTCTCCGTTGATGTTGTCCATGTGTCATCAGCCGTAGCACATGGGCCGTAATTGCTTTTAAGCCGTGTTATTTATTTTCTGAAAGCCCCGGCCATTCATTCCAGCTTTCTCCTCTGGTTGCAGGATCCAAAAATCCTGTCTGCGCTGGAGTCCGCCGGGAAAGCCGAAAGCGATCTGGAAGGGCGGATAGTGTGCGTCTCTGCTGCGGGACGGACCTGGTGAACATCAACTTCACTTACATGGTAGCAGAGAGCGTGGACGTAGCAAAGGTAAAACTCCATTATATGTTGCTGGTGCTACTACGGCGGGTCTGCCGGCTACCCTCATAAGAACTTATACAGGCCTGGCGAGGAGTAAGTGACGCAACAACAGCAATCCACAAAGGGAGGACAAACACGCCGTGGCAGCGGCAGTCATGAATCATAAATTCAGGTCACGCCAGTAGACGTCCATTTAGTGGGAAATCTCTTTTGAGAGTATAAAGGAATCTGGAGAATACGCTAAATCTAAATTGCGGGGACGGATTTTATGGTTTGCTTACATTGGTCCAGTTTAGACCATTGAGGGACTGCTGTGGACGTGGGGAATCACTGTAGTAGTTGGTGCTACTACAACTACAGTGATATCAGTCTATTGGGTCCTGTCTATGCAAATGTGAAAGGACACCGCACTCCACTAGCTCACTATGTTATGCCTCAACCTCAGGCTGCTCCTGAGCCATGCACTGACGCGTTTCGTCCCATCCCGGAGCTCAAACGGAGTTCCAGCCAATTTTGTCACTTTTAATAAATACACACTCACCTGTCCCATGGTCCAGCAATGTGCCACCCGCGCAGGGGCGGACTGACCATTTGGAAACTCGGGCACTGCCCGAGGGCCCAGGGTCAGTAGGGGCCCCATGAGATGCCCCTGGTACCTTTTTCAGAAGCTTTTTTGAGTTTGGGCAAGGACACAGGGGCCCCATGATCCCCTATTGCCTGGGGGCCCTATGGGTTGTCAGTCCGCCCCTGCACCCGCGCCATCCCTTCTCTCCTTCTCTGCATCTCAACTGTTGGCACCAGCTTGCGGCTTCACAGCCAGGTGCACATGTGCAAGTCGTGCTGCGCGTCCTGATTGGTCTGGCAGTCTTATCGGACCTGTGAAGTGTCCCACAAGAATGCAGGAGGAAGGAGTGGACAGAACTTCCAACTCACTTTGTCAAGGGTGAACTGAGCTGGAAGTGGCAGCGGTTTCCTGTCAACACCAGGTACCTGCCCCCCCTCCCAAAAGGTGCCAAATATGGCGGGGGGGGGGGGGGGGGGTAGGAGGAGGCAAACAAGCAAAGCTTCCACTTTTGAGTGGAACTCCACTTTAATTTATAGAGCTAACTGGGTGCTGGCTGCCCATCTGCATAGTAACCAAAGAACGGTCACATGCAGATTGGACAAGACGATCTGTGATTGGAGAAGGAGGAAAGACTGGGCAGTGATATCACAATCTCCACCTCATCCAATCAGAGAATGTCTTGTATTCATTGATAAATGTGGGCACTACTACAGTGATAGCATCAGTACTGGTCCTGTGCAGAGGGGGCCGCCCTTCTGCATAGTAACCACAAGGGGTCACTTACTGACTGGACAAGAAGATCTCTGATTGGACAAGATGAAGAGGCAGGGTAATGATGTCACAATTTCCACCTCATCCAATCAGAGAATTCCTTGTATTCATCGATAAATGTACTTCTGTGGACATGAAGAATCACTGTAGCTGTGGACACTACTGCAGTGATAGAGTCAGGCTACTAGTCCTGAACCGAGTGGCAGTCCTTCTGCATAGTGACCACAGGGGGTCACTTTCTCTCTGATTAGACAAGGTGGAGAGGTGGGGCAGTGATGTCACAGTTTCCACGTCTTCCAATCAGAGAATAACTTGCATTCACTGAAAAAATTACCTATGAGATTGCTGTGGATGTGGAGAATCACAGTAGTGGCTATCGGGAGTAGAAAATGTCCCGGAATCGGTTGTAAAGAGTAAACAATGCCCCATCGTTGGTGTCTTTGGGAGGAATTGTGCTCCAACATTGGTAGGAATTGTGTCCCAAAATTGGTGTCAATGGTAGGAGTTGTGCCCCATCATTGGTGTCATTGGTCCCCATTGTTGGTGTCATTGGTAGGAATTGTGCCCCATCATTGGCAAGAATTGTGCCCCAATTGTTGGTGTCATTGGGGAGGAATTGTGCCCTTTCATTGGTGTCAGTGAATGAAATAGTGCCCCTATGTGCCAAATAAAAGCAAGCAAAGGGCTGCATCCGGGCCCCAAGCCGCAGTTTAGAGACCTCTGATCTACAGACACCTCTTTCCTGCATAGGTAGTCTTTTTGTAATTAACAGGGGTTTTTTAAAGGGCTGTTAACTAATCCTTTAAATAAACTAAAAACCAAAAAAAAAAAAACAGCTTTCTTATTTTGGGCCTCTCAGGTCCCCTAATTCAGGTATTTTATATCTATTATGCAATGATTTTGGTAGGGTGCCTTTTAGAGCTTGCTCTTTGTATGGCCATTGTAAGCCGGTCCTATCTGATGGGAAACATTGAGTTTCTGTAGCTCTCATCCTCAGCTCTGTATTGTCACCTAGTGGGGAATGTGGATCCATCAATTATTATTGCTTTTCAGTATTTGGAGCTTACATATAAACCTTCGTATGTGTTAGTCCAGCCATTCTCAACTTTTTAACTCCGGAGAAACCCTTAAAATAATTTTTCATATCTCAGGGAAGCCCTAATAAATAGTAAATTACACGATCAGTAAATTGTAGATATAATAATGAATAAAATATGTGATAGCCAAAGAAGAAATAATAATAGCTAGCACAATATAGGTACTCATAGATTATTGGTTGGTAGAGAAGGGCCACCCAGAACAATGAAGGATTTCGGACCGTTGAGATAATTCAAGACAGAGCTTCCATCAGAAATCTGCCAACTTCCACGAGGCTGCCAAGACAGAGCTGCCATCAGAAATCTGCCAACTTCCACAGGGTTACCAAGACAGAGCTGCCATCAGAAATCTGCCAACCTCCACAGGGCTACCAAGACAGAACTGCCATCAGAAATCTGCCATATTCCACGGGGCTGCCAAGACAGAGCTGCCATCGGAAATCTGCCAACTTCCATGGGGCTGCCAAGACAGAGCTGCCATCAGAAATCTGCCAACTTCCACGGGGCTTCCAAGACAGAGCTGCCATCAGAAATTTGCCAACTTCCACGAGGCTGCCTAGACAGAGCTGACATCGGAAATCTGTCAACTTCCACAGGGCTACCAAGACAGAGCTGCCATCGGAAATTTGCCAACTTCCACAGGGCTACCAAGACAGAGCTTCCATCAGAAATCTGCCAACTTCCACGAGGCTACCTAGACAGAGCTGCCATCAGAAATCTGCCATATTCCACGGGGCTGCCAAGACAGAGCTGCCATCAGAAATCTGCCAACTTCCACGGGGCTACCAAGACAGAGCTGCCATCAGAAATCTGCCAACTTCCACAAGGCTACCAAGACAGAGCTGTCATCAGAAATCTGCCAACTTCCATGAGACTGCCAAGACAGAGCTGTCATCAGAAATCTGCCAACTTCCACAAGGCTGCCAAAACAGAGCTGCCATCAGAAATCTGCTAACTTCCACGAGGCTGCCAAGACAGAGCTACCTTCAGAAATCTGACAACTTCTACGAGGCTGCCAAGACAGAGCTGCCATCAGAAATCTGCCAACTTCCATGGGGCTACCAAACAGAGCTGCCATCACAAATCTGCTAACTTCCACGAGGCTGCCAAGACAGAGCTGCCATCAGAAATCTGCCAACATCCACAGGGCTACCTAGACAGAGCTGCCATCAGAAATCTGCCATATTCCACGGGGCTGCCAAGACAGAGCTGCCATCGGAAATCTGCCAACTTCCATGGGGCTGCCAAGACAGAGTTGCCATCAGAAATCTGCCAACTTCCACGAGGCTGCCAAGACAGAGCTGACAACTTCCATGGGGCTGCCAAGACAGAGCTGCCATCAGAAATCTGCCTACTTCCACGAGGCTGCCAAGACAGAGCTGCCATCGGAAATCTGCCATCTTCCACGGGGCTGCCAAGACAGAGCTGTCATCGGAAATCTGCCATCTTCCACGAGGCTGCCAAGACAGAGCTGCCATCAGAAATCTGCCAACTTCCATGGGGCTGCCAAGACAGATTGCCATCAGAAATCTGCCAACTTCCACGAGGCTGCCAAGACAGAGCTGCCATCAGAAATCTGCCATCTTCCACGGGGCTGCCAAGACAGAGCTGTCATCGGAAATCTGCCATCTTCCACGAGGCTGCCAAGACAGAGCTGCCATCGGAAATCTGCCAATGTCCACGGGGCTACCAAGACAGAGCTGCCATCAGAAATCTGCCAACTTCCATGAGGCTGCCAAGACAGAGTTGCCATCGGAAATCTGCTAACTTCCACGAGGCTGCCAAGACAGAGCTGCCATCGTAAATCTGCTAACTTTGGCCATTGGAAATCTGCTAACTTCCACGGGGCTGCCAAGACAGAGCTGCCATCAGAAATCTGACCTGTGGCATTACAGTGTCTTCCATGTAATAAAGATAGACACGTCATATGAGACTGCCATGTTAGAGATGGCTGCCCTGCTACAGGGGGCTGTAATATCACCACTGGAAAACAACCTTTAATCCTCACCTTTTGGAGTGGGCCCAGATACTTAGCAACATTCAGACCTTGGTAGCAGTGGAAAGGTGGACTCACATGGACCTGTTGGCGAGCATTTACAGTGCATTCATAAAGTATTCGGCTTTTGCAAACTCCAAGTAGGCTTTCATGAGAGGCTTCCGTCTAGCCACTCAGCCATGAAACCCAGATCAGTGGAGGGCTGCAGTGATGATTGTCCTTCTGGAACTTTGTCCCATCTCCACACAGGATCTCTGGAGCTCAGAGTGACCACCGGGTTCTTGGTCGCCTTTCTTTTTAAGGCCCTTCTCCCCCGATTGCTCAGTTTGGCCGTGCAACCAACTCTTGGAAGAGTCCTGGTTGTGCCAATTTTCTTCCATTTGAGAATTATGGAGGCCACTGTGCTCTTGGGAACCTTCAGTGTTTTTTTTGTATAGCCTTCCCCAGATCGGTGCCTTGCAGTAAACATGTGTTTGAGCTCTGCAGGCGGTTACTTTGACCTCATGGCTTTTGCTGTGATACAGTTTTTATTGTCAGCTGTAAAGCCTTTTAGCCCTCATGCACACTTGACATTTTGATA